AATTTAACGATATTATGCATCACCACACCTTAATTTTGTCCATCCATTGATAAATCCTTGACGTTTAAACTCACACATTTTATCAGCCTCAAGATTCCATGCAATAACCAGCATAACAACATCTTCAGGTTGAACGTGTAAATCGTTACAATACTCTAACATTCCATCTACTAAAATGGCATCTTCCTCCTTATCTATTTAAAAGTTAAGTGACATATGAGTAAGTAGTATTGAGTTAAATGCTTAATTTTCGCGGTTAATTACAAAAGCATCATGAAATAATGACGTCTAATCTCCTTGTCTCTTCCCGAGAACTTCTGCCACGATCATTCGCTTTTGACTTTTTTTTTTTTTTTTTTTGTAAACCCAGAGTACCTTTATATTTTGAGAATATTTGATTAAGTTTATAAACATCTGGGTTTCCAGCATTTTGCGAGCTTCCAAAGGATCTCCAGGAGCTAGGTTGATCGTTAAAGAAAGCGTCTACTGCAACTTCTACATTCCAGTTGAATTCTCTGAGTTTCCGGATGGAGACCCTTTCACTGACATTATTTAGGTAATCAAGTAAGACAAAGTAAGAGATCTATTTCTTCCAATGCATCTTTTTGACGTCACTAGTGAATTTCTTTTACCTGGCATTTGTAAAGGTCATAAATTGCCTAACCTTTTCTTTTTGCGCTGTTTTTAACGTATTCTGCAACGATAGGAGGATAACAAGATTAGAGCAATGGTTATAATGATTTTCTCGCTTACATAAATAAAACTCACCATGTTTATTTGCACACAATATAAAGCTTAGTAGAAAATGTACGTACAATCCCATCTTTTAGAGGCAATTCTGAGTTTTATGAAATATAATCATGTGACACGCGGTAACAACTCCGGTAATGAAGAGTAATCAAATTCCGTAGTACCCTTTTACTGCGTGTATGGCTGGAACGTATGATTTATACGAAAAAAAACCTTTAAAAAATTAACGTTAAAGAAATCACAATTATACTGTAAATACATTTATTTTTAATTATATAAAAAATTATAGTAAAATAAAAGAAAGTTTGATTTTCATATTATAACTTGATCTAAATTGCAAATAATCTAAAATAACGATATTCATACTAATCTACAATTGAATTTGTATTACAATTAATAAAAATCTTATAGCTTTTAATAACTAAAAGTATATTTATAAAATACAAGTAACCCTCGTTAATATAACCCATTTGGACTAGACACTGATATTGATATTAGACAACAAAGAGGTAAAATTTATATAGTCTGAACTCAATTTTTTACAAGGTTGATATTAACAAAGTTGATATTTAACGAGGGTCACCTATAAAGCATTTTTAAAGGATTAACTATAAATCACTATAATATCAACCAACATTACAAAATAAAATGAGAAAAAAAAAAAATAAAATGTATATAATTAGTGTTTCAAATATACATACACCTGTTGTGTAAGTTAAATTTACAAGAGGCACATCCAAAAGTAAAAAGATATGATATCAATTGACAATTGATTAATTAAATGATCAAGTCACTAAATAGCGCATGATATCAGATAAAGAAACGATTCCTTTCAACTTGTTTTCCGAATCAACAACAATTAAGCGATATACCGGAGCTTTCTTTATTAAGTCGAATATTGAATGAAGACAATCGTTAAGAGTACAAGTATGAACTCCGGGAAAGTCCTTAAACGAAAAAAAATCGTTAACAGATTACAAAAAAAACGGATAGAATTATAATGCACTATAAATAGAGATCAATACCTCGGTTCTCCATAGTATTGCTTTTCCAATGGGAAGATCCATACCATGATACGTACCAGCACGGACTAATGTCTATTGAAAACCAATTTTATCCTTATTGAAAATGTAAATAAATTCCTAAGTCAGTCGGGAAAAAAAAAAACTTAATACTTACCATCACGTCAACTGTTTCATATACATTCAACACAACACCTAACAAGTTGAAATGATATTAATTCACAGTTTCTCAAAAGAAGAATAATAAATGGGGGTCATGTGATATATCACACCATTATCATCGATTATTGGCACTGAAGAGATTCGTCTCTCCGCAAAAGTATTTACAACTTCAATGACAGGAGTAGACATTTTTGCAGTAGCAATGTCATTATATACTCCAATCTTTATTTCTGAAAGTGGTTTTCGAAAATCTTTCGTTTCCTTGCACTATATAAATCATATATATACGCGGGGCATGTAGTTCCATGTATTCATATTAAAATAAGAATATGAAATATCTTACGTTCATTGCTATAAATTTAAGTATCCTATATTGTGTTAACACTGATACAATCATTTCTTGGCCAGTCTCTGAATCAACATCGACCAATGGTAATCGATGTGCACGAGCTTCCACCAATAATTTACAAGCTTCATATAATGATTTTAACGGATGTATCGATAGTAATTGTGGCGGCGGTGAACCCAAACGACTTTCCACATCTAGATAAATAAAAAAAATTACGTTATTTAAAAAAAATCGACTCATCATAGAAGATATCGATAATTACCTCTCAATTGTTGTATCTGAAATTGCTCAATTTCTTCTAACGCAACGGTGTAAGATGAATGCTTGTAATAATAATGTATTAGGTTAATAAAATCGGATACAGTCAACATTCCGGCAAATTTTTGATTGTTTGAATCCCAAAGTGGTGCCGATACAACTCCTGTACGAAAAAATCATTGATGGCATTGAGACGGTTATATCCAGTGCTAGCCCACAAAGAAAATTGATCAGAACTAAGGCTTTGTGGTGTTAGCATCACAAAGAGTTTGTTCATGTGTTTCACGCGTAATAACTACTTACCATTCTGCATTAATGCAGCCAAAGCTTTCTTTACAAGTAAGCTAGTATCTAACACTATTACCCTGTAGCTTACTGGCAATACATCATATGAAGAATGCTGTTTTAAAAAGTCACAGATATAGTTGTTAAGCGAACCCATTTTCCTAAAGCCGGAGTAAGACGAAAGACGAAACCCCCTGACGAAATAACAAAGCCTTAGCTAAAGACAAAACTTCGGCGAAAGGCGAACTTTTAAAGAAACTAAAACCTCTACAAAAGACAAAACTCTCAGTAAAAGATATAAAACCTATGAAAAAGAAGCCTTGAAGCTATCTATTGATAAAACAAGACAATGACTATTATACAATATACCTGCCATCCACAAAATTTTCTAGCATGTGATCAAGTGTAACGTGAAAATCACGATTTGTCTATTTGTCTTCTTTGCAAAAATTTTGATATTGCAATCTATTTAGTTGCACAAAATAAATGCTAGTTAAAAGATGCAAAATATTTTATATATTCTGAGAGAAACAAAAATTTTTTTCTTTTTAAAAAAATTTTTCTTTTTTTAAAAAAAAAAAAAAAATACTAGTACAATCGATACATACCATTCGTTTGAGACTTTTTTTATGAATCTAGACAGTATATGCATTTAAGTTATAAAAACCATTTTTGTGTAAATAATTAAAAAACCAAAATTTTTTACGTATGCATTTAGAGAGTACGTATGGTATGGGTATCGACATGGTTGATCATGCTCATGTTGTACAAAAGTTATAAATTGATTAAGATCTAAGATAATCGTTAAACTTTAAAAAGTATTTCGTTGCATTGGCATAACGATTAACATTGCAAATGACCGAAGAATCAAAGCAAGAAAAAACTTTTTTTTCTGCTGTTCATGCCGAAGCTAGAGCTGAAGAACCTGAAGAAGCTGTTCAGGAAGATCCAGAGGATCCAAAACCAGCGATCGAAGAAGGTATTTTATCGTAAATGTCAGTTTAACTTAAGCCTATTTATTTATACACATTTCTAATGTCGAACGATTCAATCATAATAGCTTGTGGTAATACTACAGCTTGTGCACCCCTAAAACATCACCTTGAGGAATGTAATAGTCGTGTTGAGGCTGGTGGAACTGAAGAAAATTGTAAGCTATCAATTATTACATTCATACCGGGCAGAATTTTACGCATTTAATAACATGATTTTTATCCTGATGATCACAAGGTACTGAAGAGCTTTTACATTTTATGCATTGCGTTAACAATTGCGTAAGTAATGATAAATTGTTATATAGTTTTTTTTTTATATTAATACACATCTGACTCTTCTATTCTTATGTAGGTTGCTCCAAAGCTTTTCGCTCAATTGAAATAATTTTTGTTAATAATACAAGGAATGAATAATCAGTTTTTTGAGTCTATTCTTTTTACAGTAAAGTACCAAAAATGATAACAAGTGTAGAATTCTATATTTATATCTGTACATTTCTTTAGAACCTATAAGAATTAAATGATAATTGATGCTCGATATTTGTATAAGTGTAATTTTATTGCAGATTAATATAAGTATGTTGATGGATTAATTTCGCAAGTTCTTCTCGAAGGCTCCCACATCAACGACAACATATATACTATGATTAGGTAAATGGCTATACTCGCATATAAGGATGTTGAAATAATGTGTGGTGATTGCCAATCATAACCGAGCTATATAAAAAAAGACATTAGTTAATCAAATATACAAAAATTGGTAGTTAAATAAAATAAAACCTGTCGCGACACGTTAGTAGTAGATCCACCTCGCCAATGATTTGGATAAATGAAATGTGGTGCCCAACTTTCGTTTCCTAAAACACGCTTTGGTGATAGAAGTAAGGTATATTTAGTAAAAAATAACCAATAATTCTGTCTTAAAAAGACGTGTTTTACTATTATATGAAGCTAAAAGTTATGGAATTGAATAAAAAAAAAAAAACCTGAGGAAAACTATATCGATTTAATCTGAACTTGTCCCAGTCTTGAATATATAAATACAGCACAATTATCAGAATGAACAGACCATATTCCAAAATGAAATTGAAAGTTCGTATAGGCGGAAGATCTTTTGCGTCCATTATATTCAACGCTAAAGACAAGTTGTAGGTCTCGTTTAAGTACGTACGTACGTACCTACATGGTAACGGTGTTTCAACCCGAAAAAAGTAGGATCACGTGCTGATGATCATCCGATTTATCCAATCAAGGTCGAAGTTTAAGGTAGCATTGTATGCAGTGAAAAATTTTGCCAATCGATTAGTTGCCAATTTTTCATATCATGTGACTAAATTTGTCAATTAGCCACACGACTAGGCAGAATATATTGGAATTTAACTATATATTTTCTAAATCGATTAATTGGAAAGTTGTCTAGTTGATTTTCAACTAAACGATTCGGATCACTATCGGACAGCAAAAAAACATCCACTATTTATATTATTGCTGATTTATTCACAGCGGATAACGGTGAATAATCAGTTATCACCAATAAGTGAATAACGGCAATTTGGCAAATGAGCACGTGCCGCAAATCGGCACGTGCAGTCAATCATTTGCTAAATTGCTGTATTCGCAAATTTGCTAAGGATGGCAAGTGTTTTAAAATACAATGTTTTAAATCAGTTTTATATTGTTCTAAAAAGTTTTTTATTGTTTTAA